GATGTGGATACGTTCCACCAGCACCAGGGGCAATACCAGAATAAACCTTAAGATATGCATTTCAGCTTTTCATTGACTGTTTACTTATACAAATATAGGCTGTAAACATCAAGTTTCCTGGTACACTATGGACAGTAAGAACTGCCCCCGGGCTACCAGTCTGGTTTGTTTGTTTTTCTCCCCATTTTCTGGCCTATCTGTAATGACTAATACAAGTGTGTCTGGATAGGCAGACTGATGGAAACTATCATTTGGCATGGCAATAGTTGTGAATATTTACAACGTATAAATGCATAATTAGAATTGCAACTTTACAATCTTCCACAGAAAAATCCTATGTGTATCAAAGAAGATCCCATATAGAATTAAGGGCTTTTTAGCAGACATGTTAATCATTGGCACATCAGTGTATCCGTTATTTCAAATGTATCCATACTGTCCCTCAGTAAAAAGCTTCTGGAATGACTCCTAAATAAAATCCATGCAGGAACACTGAGTAAACATAAGTATTAAAGCACTATAAAGCAACACATGCATGCATTTAACAGCCGCAAATAACCAAAAGCCTGGACGAACAGTTCTTGATTTGGTGTCCAAAACTAGAAAGAACAAGTGCCAGGTAAACATCTGTGGAAAGGCTGTTCATATGTGGGAAAAAAGCCTATCTGATAGTAGGGACACCAAGAACCTCCATAGACTATTTTAGTTTGGGGGAAGGTGGGCATGGAGGGAAGCAGTTCTCTAAGTACTCTGGGACCAAGTTATTTAGAGCTTTAAAAATCATTTTGAATCATTTTTGGAGAAGATGGGTAACCAGTGGGTTGTGTTTGTTTTTTTTAAGTACTGGAACAACATGATAGCAGTTACTATAGCCATGTTGCTGTATTTTGTACCTACTGAAACTTCCAAACCATTTTCCAAAGCAGTTCCAAATCAAGTACCTTGAAGTAATCAAATCTGCATGCAATGAGAGCATGTGGCCAGAACTTGCTTCCCCAAGAAGGGGCATGACTAGCAAAAAAAAGCTTGGGTAAAAGAGCAACAAGCTACATTGGAGACCTGGACCACCATCTGCAGCCACACATATAACAGGTCTCCAAGCCAAGAACTTTGTATTTTTAAGGGGAGTGCAATGCCATCTAGCTCAGGCTAACAATCCCAAGTTAACAATACTGCTGACTAAAAACACCAGAATCTTTTATGGGCTGAGCTGCAGTTTATTGGCTATCATCCGGTCCATCACCATTTCCAGACTTTGTTTCAATAAATTAACTATCACACCTGGATGTCATCAATATATTAATAACACCTCATTCTAGATGATCTCTCCCAGCAGTTTCATGTAGGACCCCACAGCAAAAAGTGGTGCCATGTTCTGATACTTCTCAGTCACATTGGACTGGGAGCACAGTGCCCCTGATCTCCAGTTCAGCCAACTTGATCAGAAGTATTCCATTGCTGATGGTACTTAATTCTGCTGAGTGGTCCAGGAGCATTACTCTGCAACCATATCCCCTTTTTCTCATGGGAGGGATAAGCCCCGTAGCCAGGATTTTGTGGTTTGTGGGGCAAATTTTTTTCTGGTGGGGCTGCCATTATTTTCCATAATGATACACCCCTCTCCCTCCCCTCCTGCAAGATTTAAAGGCAGCCCTATAGCCAGGATTTTGTGGCTTGTGGAGCAATAAAATTTCTGATGGGGTTGGTGGGGCTGCCATTATTTCCCATAATTCTATGCCCCTCTCCATCCCCTCCTGCAAGATTTAAAGGGCTCTTCAGCTGATTGCAGGGAACACTTGGCCCACCAATCAGCTGGAGGGCTCTTTAAATCTTGCAGGAGGGAGGAAGAGGGGCGCACACCAACCCCTGCTTCTTCTCCAAAGCATTTAAAGGATCCTTCCTTTAAGGAAGGGGGCAGAGCCTCCAATAGCCCCACCGTAGCTACGGGCTATGGAGGGATGGTCTTAGAACTGTAACATAAACATTCTACTTTTAAACCCCAGGCTGAGATACAATACACTGTTGCTAATCCAGACAGGAAATTAATATCTGAATGCTCACGGAAACAGACATGTGAACACACATGTTCACTGTGCTTCTCTGCAACTGCTATCTATAAGGATAAGGATTTACTCATTATCAAATTCAGAACAGGGAGTACCTCCCTTAGTACATTTTTTATGCACAAGGAGCATCCCAAGCCTAAGGAATTCAAATACTGAGGTAACTGCAAAGAATGTGCAAAGGAATAGTAAAAATTAGTATGAATTTGTCAAAAGGCTTTGTACACAAAACATATTTTGAAGGTAAAAGGAAAAGCAGAATGTCTCTGTTCTGTTCAAGAAACAAAATTCCCAGTTCAGTTCCTTTTATCCTTGTTCCAAGGTACACAGGGCCATAGCTAGGCAGGGGTGGTGCCCCCTCCTGAATCTGCAATGCCCCACTCACGCACCTACCTGATGCCGCTGCTGCCATGCCTCGTCTGCTCAGGGGTCCCTGGCCATCTCCCTCTGGGGAGCCACAGAGCAGTGCCAGCTGCCCCCTGCACCCTTCCTCCCTCTCTGCCAGCAAAGGAGTTACACCTTCCACAGTGTGCTCGCCCAGAGTGTGGTTTTGTCTGGCTGATGGACTTGAGGCCACAGTGAGGGGCATCCAATGTGGGAGCCACTGGCAGGGGATGTGATGGCTGAGTAGTGCAGAGGGAGGCTGCCTATCCTCCCCACCCAATCCTTCCCTCTGTCCCTCCCTCTGGTGAGGAAGACAAGGCTGTGTTGCACACGCTGAGGCACAGCCAAAGCTGGGCTCTCCGGCGGCCAGGGAAGTGGGCAGCGTGGCATGCCCAGGCGAGTGAAGGCGAGGGCTGCCATTACTTCCCCTGCAGCTGCAAAGCCCCCCCACCAAAAATCATCTACCTATGGGGCTGAGGGTACATCTTACGTTACAGTAAAGCTTTGTTTTTAATTTTCAGTATGTGAAGCAGCTCAAGCATCAGCTTATTATGAAGAGGCTTCCTATATATTGCTACCAAGAGACATGCAGATTGGTCTGTCATTTCTTCAACATCTGATTGCCCCCAAATCCAATATAAAGGGGTGAAGTGATAATAACATAAGCCCAAGAAGCTTCTGTAGACAAGAAGGAAATAAGAGTCAACCTCTGTGTGCCAGTCTAGCACAGCCATAACCCTGAAGAATGAAAAGGATGTAAAAAAAAAATCAGGTGTTCTGCTCTAGCATGAGAAAAGAATGGAAATAACACCAGTCATTGGTCATAATCAGCAGCAGATGCCACAAGCTTTTGTTCATTCTGGTTAGCATGAACTGAGACTGCAAAAACAGACAGATCATTTCCACAAGGCAGATTATTCAAGTATGTCTAAGAGTGTTAAACAAACTCAAAGCCAGCAACAGAACTGGAAAAAGTAAGAAACCGGGACCTGAAAAACACAAACTATCAGGAATTAGTCATTGTCCCGTCCCCCCCCCCCCCATTACAGGATTTTTAAAATGGTAAAAAGTATTCTCATGTAATAAAATACATGAAAGCCACATGCAGACTGTCTTGATTGTAGATATGCTTTTAATTGCATTTGCTCAAAAGTCTATATATATGTGCCAATCAATGCTCCCTTTAAGTTGTGGAGTCTTGTGAGCAAAAATTCTACTTTGTGAGCTACTGGCATTAAAGTTGTGAGTGAGAGATTTGATTGCTGCATAAATAGTTTGCTCTGAAGCCATCCTTCCTGAGCTAAGACAAAATGTGTGAGCCACAGGCTAAAAACCTGTGAGCTAGTTTACACTAACTCAGCTTAGAGGGAATATGTATGCCTGCTAGTGCATAACCCCTGATTTGTCATGGTCCCTTTAAATTTCACTGCATAAAGCAGACACTTTAAGAAAATCCCTGGCATGTAAAAACATGGCAACAACTCTGTGCTGCAATTCTGAACATGTTTTATCTTAGCAGTAAACTAAATGTAGTAAACCAACAAAAAATAAGCAAAAGAGGTGATGCTGTATAAACATCTCCAAAGAAGATGAAGAACTTGAACAATGTTCAGCAGTCTAGATAGTAGGAAATGAAAGTGCAATAAAATTGCTCTTCCCCTTCCCACACTTCTGGTGTAATGAGATAACAAACAAAAAAAAAAACGCTGTAGGGTTCAATGTGCAAGAAACTTCCATAATCAAAACTTGTGCTTTTAAGGTCCAGACAAAGTTTCAGTGGCTGCACTAAAAGCATGAAAAGATCACAACTAGCTTGTGTCTTTCCCACCCTGTGTCAACCATATGCAAAGCCATTGCTGTTTGTCTTCTTTGCTACCTAGGTTAGCCTATGAAGTTATCTGATAGAAGTGGTACAAAGAATCCTGCTTCAGGTCAATGAAGTCGTACAGTGCCTTTCACAGACTGGCCACAATCCACAAATACAGCTTTGGATGTTGCAGCTCAAAAATTAAATATTCTCCCTGCATTTCCACAAGTCTTTGGCTGCAAAAAAGCCCTCTGGACTGGTCTATAATTGTATATTTTGCCAACACTCCATGTGAGAGTAGCTGGTTGGTCTGATTGCTTTGTTTAGCCCCAATTGTTTGGAAAATATGAAAGCAACAAGCAAAGTTTCCTTTTTTTTAAAAAAAGTGTTTTTCATTTCAAAACCAAGTATAATTATGGAACCTCATCTAGGAAACAAGTACATAGTAACAGGCAACCTATGAACCTTTTGATCATTCACAAAGACCAACAATTCACAGTAGAAGGCAAACAGTAATCCATGATATCTGGCAAATTACAGTTTTTCAAATTTATATCCTCCTTCCCAATAAACAAATGGCTTCATCCACTTTAAGACTCTTGTGGTTTAAATCTTCTATTTTGAGAATTCTCAACCTTCCCTTATTAAGCCCACTAATTAGTATTTCAACAATCAAGACATTCATGACAGAATAAGAATTGGTGGTATCATTCAGTTCCCAAAAGTAAATATTGAACGTTATTAACCTCTTTCATCTTGTCAAGTTCATTCTGTAGAGCCTGCTTAGCAATCTCCACTTCTATCAGCTGCTGTCTTAACTTATCATTTTCATCTTCTGTAGTGGTACGTTTTTCTTCCACATTTTCCAACTCATGATGAAGTCTTACTGAAACATCCTTTGCAACCTAAATGAGACAGTTTAGAACCATTAAAATGTTGGGGAGCATCGTTATTATGGCAGTACTGTGTAATTTTAGAAAACTCTTTTCTGCCACAAATACTGAGTTGGTATATATGTCATAAAATAGAACACCTGGAGATCTCCCACTAGTACAATTGATTAAGATTGGTTCACCTGGAGAACACAGCTGCTTTGAAAGGTGGACTCTATGGCATTGTACCCTGCTGAGGTACCTCCTCTTTCCAAACCCCGCCCTCCCCAGGCTCCACCCCCCCAAATCTCCAGGTATTCCCCACTCCAGAGCTGACAACCCTATTCTAAAACTAGTCTCATTCTGACTATACATTCAGTAATTTAGAAAACTGATTATTCTACTGAACTTAAAAGTGGAAACATCATTAGGACCTAAGGGATGGATCCAACCAGGTTTTCTGTTGGTGAGAAAAGAAGAAGGGGGCTACCTCTGACCACCCAAAAAAGACTATGCTGGGGGAATCATGGGACCTGTATGTATAAAAGTCATGCAGGTTAGGGCCTGTGGTAAGGAACAGAAATGAGTAAGAATCGCTGAAAAAGATGTCTGGATCCAAGCCTAAATATGAAGCTCAGTTCATGTGCTTCACCAATGGAGTATTGTGTAGTCAGTGATCACACTACTGAGTTGGCATTTAACCACAGGACTCCCCAATCTTAGACCAAGTGTCCCCTTTTAAAATAATGGACATAATCCAACAGAAAGTTGGAGAAATGTAGGCGTATTACATACTTTTCAATGGGAAAAGGTTTGGTTTGCCATTAACAATACAAATGTATCTCAAATGCGGATCTGGTAACATCCAGATTGATTTAAATTTGATCTACTAAACTATGGCAGAATCAGTCAAGGGCAGATGGTTAATCAGCTAAAAATCTTTTATTAAAAGCAAGCCTTAACATTTATCATGTTCTTTCATCAACAGTGCAGTGCTAAACAGAGCTATACCCTTATAAGCCCATTAACTCCAATAGACCTAGAAGGCTGTAACTGTTTAGGACTGCACTGTATATTTCTCTTAAATATGCTGTAGCCCATCCTAATATTTTAACAACAAAGATATGCCATTGCAAATTGATAAAAGCACATCTCAGATGAACATGGGCTTGGCTTATCTCTTTGTTAAAGGGAAAAATGCTTTTTTGTAAAAGATTTCAATCCTTCTTTTGTACATGTTTTACTGTATCTAGACAGAGGCAGTTACATATTAATGTTGAGCTGGCAATTCTAATACTTAACAAACTGTGTGCAATATTCATCATTGATAACATGCATGGCTACTTAAAATCTAAGCCTCACTGAACTTAACAGAGTTTAAGCCTGTGTGCACAGAACTGCAGTCAAAACGTAGTTCTCCCTAGTTACAGCTCAAAGGAAAAACAGTTGGCTGGAAACAACCAAGAAACCCATTATTTACCAGAAAGCAGCAATAGTGTATGAGTCACTCACTCCTTATTGGAAATTCAGTGTTCTCTGAAGTACTGATACGATAGAATGGATATTGGGTGGGAAATGTCAGCATCACTACAGTCTGTCTCACATAGTCATATATGATAGACACAAAGTATGTTGGATATCTGTTCTAAAGAAATTGAAACAAACGAGTGGGAAGGAATATCACACATCATGTTGGAGGCCTACATATTCCTGCATGGTGATTAGTCTGTCATATTGGCATTCTCCTTGCATACTGGAGCATGCAGAGGAATGTGAGCAGTTCAGCAAAATCAATAAAAGAATGAGCTGCTATCTGGAAGGTCTCCAGACAGTTCAAAATTTACTTCTGCCACAACTTTAGAAGGAGACCTGAGGCAAGCCCCTCACCATATCTGCAATATGAGGATAATAACAACAATAACAATAATAGCAATAATAGCAATAATAGCAATAATAGCAATAATAACAATAACTTGCCTTACAGGGCTGTTGTAAGAATCACAAGAGAACATATGTGATGCACTTCAACTACTGAAAGTACTGTGTAACGACAAAGAAGCATTCAATGCTAAGTGTGTCTCTATATTCCTTTGTTCATACATGAAAAGATTAGTTCAATGGCAAAGCAGGAGAATTTGAAGAAATTGAAGATCCTTATTATCAAATTCCTGCTTACAAATGCACAGGAGAAACTAGGCCTCAAGCAACCTTGGCTTTCCATGAAACGGTTCACACTTTAGCTGATGCCCAAAAGGCTACAGTTCTTTTGTAGACCCCCCCTCCCTCTACCTTCTCAACAATTGGCCAACTTCTAGACCTGCTGTACCTTCAAGTCCTGTTCCAAGCTACGCAGAAGTTCTCCATCAATCTCCCCAGTTTGTGCATAGCGGAGCCTCTTTCGCTCTGCTTTACGAAGACGATATTGAAGGATCCTGCAATTTTTGTTAGCCCTCTCCAACTCATGGCGCATTTCCTGAAGCTGGCAGGCATCCTCTTCAAAGAAGCTGTCCCTCATCTCATCCATCTCAGTCCTCATTTCATCTATTTCATTCTGGCATTCATTCAAAAAGAACAGACAAATGCACCATATTACATAAATTCACTTCAACTCCATTGGACAAAGAGCAACCTATACATAATTTTTAGGTAGCTATCCATGTATGTCTTCATGTCCACTGAAAATCTCTAATATGGCCACATGGATACCAGGAGTCAATCAATGAAAAAATCATAGGAAAGGGATAAAGGCGCAGTGTGATGTGGTGGTCAGTTTGTCAATCTGGGAAACCTAGGATCAAATCTTCTCTCTGCCAAGGAGGTTTGCTGGGTGACCTTGGGCCAAACGCACACACACACTCAGCCTAAACGACCTCAAATTGTTGTTATGAAGATAAAATGGAGGAGAGGAGAATCCTGTGAGCCACTCTGTATACCCACTGGGGACAAAGGTGGGGCATAAATGAAATAGCTTAATAAATACTCCACTGTAATTAGAAAAGGGAAGTGCATAGTGTCTCCACCATTTTCAGTTTACATTGTTAGTTCTACATGGGGACATAATGTGTGTTGAATCTTCCCATTCAACATCACTAAATAGTTAACTGAATGATGATACAAAAGTCTTGACTCTTTCACTGTTAATGTTCATGTAAGTATAGATGTACAGATCTAGATCACAACCCCTTTCCTCACAGGCAAAACAAGCTGGAGGAAGAAAACACTATGATGTGACTATAATTTTGTATTCATTATATTTTAATTACTTTTAACAGATTAGAACAATGAATGAAAAAATGCACAAATCCATCTAGAAGGGTGCTGTCTAGTGCTGTCATCTGATTAAAATCATAGAATTTTAACTGACTGAAATCATGAATTTTAAATGAATTAAGTCTGCATAAATTTACATATGAAAAATCCATTATTTTGAAGAAAAATGCAAACCTTTGTTGATTTAGGGGAAGCAGGGATATGCTTCAGAAAGTGCCACAGAGAAGATGCATTCCCTCCCATGTGAGAGTGAAAGAAGAATGCATCTTCTGAGATGGCACCTGTCATGAAGCTTATTTTAAACAAATAACTAACTTTTAAAAATGTTTCCCAATTAATGAGGGATGGTTTTTTTAAGACTATCAAAAGGTTTTTAATGTTTAAAAGTTGAAGCCCTAGCTGCTTGGTATATTAGTGGAGGGACTCTCTCCCCTCCCCCCATCATGGAACTGGTAACCATTATTTTCCATATAATATCTAGAAGGCACGACTATTCTAGCAACATTTCCTAGTAGTCCAAATAATTCAAGGAATGGGGTCTCACTTTCAGAGGAATAATGGCCTCCCTCCCACCCCTGCATCTTTTCATAATGGTGACAAGCGAATAGGATGCTTGAACGAGGATGGTGAGGAAGAATAATCATCTTTTGTTTCGCTTAGGTCCTCTTCTAGGGAGACGTTTCCTTAACAGAATAGCCTTCCCCTCTCCCCTCCTCTTCCTCCGGGAGAGCATAAAGGACTCGCCAACCCCGCCCCTGGCTGAACCACACCCGCGGCATTCTTCCCACTCCCCTCCTTCTCACCTTAAGGGTCTCGTTCTCCTCCCGCAGCTTCTCCACCTCCTCTTGGAGCTCCTGCTGTTGCCGATGATTCAGGCTCGAGGCGCCTTCCGGAGCTCCGTTGCGGCCATTGCCTTCTTCGGCCCCAACCGGCGCCATTGGAGAAAGGCTCGAGGATGAGGGGGAGGCGCGCTGGGGCTGCTCGGCCGCCGACGGGCCGCCGTTGTTCTGGTTACTGCCTTTGCTTTGCATCTGGGCCGCCGCCAGCCCCTTCCTGAGGTGGAATTGGATGAGCTCACTTTGCAGGCATCCTTCCTTCCAGTAGCCGCCGCCGCCGCCGCCGCCCCCCGCCAGGGCCCGGCCCTTCCCTGCGCCACAAGAAGATGGAGGAGCCGGGGCCGCCTCCCCCCCGCCCTTTTGCAGAGGCCTCCCCGCTTTCCCCCGGCCCCAGCTCTTGGGCGGCGGCGGCTGAGGAGGCGCGCCTTCCCTTTCCCCCTCGCCTCCAGTCGGAGGCTGCTGCGAGTCGCCGGCTCCGGACGCCGAGTCTTTCGCCGGCGCCTCCCGCTTGTCCGCGGAGGGCCCTGCGTTTCTTCTCGGGAGCCCTCCCGCCAACGCCAAGGGCGAGGCGACTTGCGCTTCAGCACCACCCCCGGCCTGGACAGCTCCCAGCGGCACGGCGCTCCTTAGCGGCGGCGGCGGCGCCTGCGGGGGCGGCTTGTCCCCTCCCACTCCTCCTCCGCCCCCTTTAGCCCGGCTGGGTTTCTGCCCCGGCGGCGGCGGCGGCTGGCGGGCGGAGGTTGCTTTGGAGGCAGCAACTGCAGCCGCCGCTGTGGAGCGGGCAGAGTTGGCAGCTGGGGAGGGCTGGCGGACGGGAGAATCCCTGGGTCTGCCCGGAGAGGATGCTCGCTGCTGTTGCTTGCTTCGGCTGCTTCCCTCTGGATGCAAGCGAGGCGAGGCTGTAGCAGCAGCGCCCCCGATAGGTGGCTGACTCATGGTGGCTGCTATCTCCGGGGAGTCGCAGAAAGGTCCAGTCCTCCCAGGATCATCTTCGGCTTACTCGTGATTTTCTCCTTGAGCTGGCTAGAGAGGCACACAGAACGCTTGTGAGGGACCAGCAGCACAAAGCAAGCCTGTTTCTTTCACAATGGGAACAATAAGCCTACAAGAGAGAGGGCGGAGTTCGAAACTGTTCTGGGAGGCTTGTCTGTATGCCACCGCACTGTGCTCTTCCAATACACAGACGTTACCTGGAGACTTGGCCTAAAAGCACTGTGGCACAAGCAGAGCTTTGCAGAAGCAGTTTTTCTAGCTGAAGCCAAAACCTGATCTCATCCTCTGCCACCACTAAAGAAATCTGGCCAGCAGCCAACTTAATTTTTGTTTCCCTGCATGTTTGCCAGAAGCAGCAAAATACTGGCAGTCTGGGTCTTTCTCACAGGGTAGTTTTTCTAATGTGAACGTTCTAATTCCAAACGCTGAGGCTATTTGCCCTAAGCAGTTCCTCTTGCCATCTCACTGGTTCTGTAGGTCAGTGCTGGTGAATCCACACAGCAGTTTTAGCTGAGGAAATCCAAGGTCCATCCATGATGTCTTCTCCTACATAGTCCCCTACCAGTCTGCCCCCCCATCCAGTGGCATATATAGGATCTACCCAGTAATTCCACCAATTCTCATCTAGTACCAAATGAGAGAGTGTGGGAAGCTGCCCTATAAATGTGTATTGGACCATTTCGGTATATCTTTTAATGTCCGCTCAGTCATAAGCAGTTGATCTTGGGAATCTCACACTTTCATTGTACAGTCATGAGAGCTAATTAGAGATGAACCATTGAAACAGCAGGTGACACTTTGGACTTAAGCCCTTAGCCCTCATCCTCATCTATAAGGGTGCTGTTTTTGTTCACTTAAAGAAGAGGCCTGTAGGTGTTGCTTAAGATATTCTGTACAGTGCAACTGGACAACAATAATTTTGAAAATGATCTGTGTACAGGATGCAATTTTACTACTGAAGAGTACAATAATTTTGAAAATGATCTGAGTGTACAGGATGCAATTTTACTACTGAAGCCAAGCAAGTCTGGTCCTGTAATGTGAGACTGCATATGAAACCATATCAAAGATGCTCCTCAAAGAAAGAGTCACATAAGTGGAATAAATAAACAATATAGTGCTAGAATTCAAAAGAAGCTCTCACAATGTAAGAAGAAAAACAAGTTCTGAATCAGAACTTGGGGGGTCATATAAACATACAAATAAGTTGCCTGTCTTGAATGGAAGCCTGTGCATCCCCTTCCCCCACCTAATCCCAATGGTTAAAGAGTAGAACAAGGACGGATTTCCAATCTCCCCCTTCTGCACTCAGTGCAGGCTTGTTAATTAAGTGTGATTCTCAATATTTTAGGGGGGACAAAGGGATGATAGATATTCAGGACTTGATTAAATAATCCTATGAAAATGGCTTAAGAACATAACAAGAGTCCTTCTGGATCAGACCAATAGTCCATCTAGTCCACCATCCTGTCTCACACAGTGGCCAGCCAGTTCCTCTGGACAGCCAATAAGAGGGCATAGAGTCTGAGGCCTTCCCATGATGTTGCCTCCTGGCTCCAAGATTCAAAGGATTAGTGCCTCTGAATATGGAGGTTCCCCTCAATCACCATGGCTAGTAGTTGTTGATAGTCTTATCCTCCATGAATCCATCTAATCCCCCTCATCACTACATCCTCTGGCAGCAAATTCCACATTTTAATCACTCTCTGTGTAACATAATATTTCCTTTTTTCCATCATGAACCTACTACCCATCAGCTTCATTGGATGCTCTCAAGTTCTAGTATTTTGGGAGAGGGAGAAAATTTCTTTTTGTCAACTCTCTCCCTCCCATGCATAGTTTTATAAACCTCTATCAAATTCCCCCTCCTTAGTCGACTCTTTTCTAAACTGTAAAGTCCCTTTCCTCAGGGAAGATGCTCCAACTCCCTAATCATCTTGGTTGCCCTCCTCTGTAGTTTTCCCAGCTCTGCAATGTCCTTTTTGAGATAAAGTGACCAGAACTGTACACAGTATTCAAAATGTTGCCACACCACAGATCTATACAGGGGCATTACAATATTGGCTGTTTTATTCTCAATCTCTTTCTAATTAATCCTTAATACAGAGTTTTCTTTTCTTTTTACCCCTGCAGCACTGGGTTGACACTTTCATTGAGCTATCCACTATGACTCCAAAATCTTTTCCCCTCTCAGTCTCAGCAAGTTGAGACCCCATTAGTCTATACTTGAGCAAGTTGAGACCCCATTAGCCTATACTTGAAGTTGGGATTTTTTGTCCCAGTGTGCATCACTTTACACTTACCGACACTGAACTTCATTTCCCACACTGTTGCCCACTCACCCAGTTTGTGGAGGTCCTCTTGGAGCTCTTCATAATCAGCCTTGTTTTTCACCACCCTGGATAATTTTGTGTCATCTGCAAACTTGGCCACTACATTACACACCCCTAGTCCTAGATAATTTATGAATAAATTAAATAGTACTGGCCTCATTACTAATCCTTGTGGGACCCCACCACTTACTAATCCTTGTGGGACCCTACCACTACTAAGAACTGTCTGTTGATTCCTACTCTTTACTTCTTGCCATTTAACCAGTTTTAATCCATAAGAGAACCCATCCTCTTATCCCATGACTGCTAAGTTTACTCATGAGCCTTTGGTGAGGTACCTTGTCAAAAGCCTTTTGAAAATCCATGTATATAATGTCTACTGGGTCACCATTGTCTACATGCTTATTCACTTTCTCAAAGAATTCCAAAAGGTTGGTGAGGCAGGACTTCTCTTTGCAGAAGCCATGCTGATTTTCCCTCAACAGGCTTTGTCCCTCTATATGCCTAAAAATTCTATCTTTGATTACAGTTTCTGCTAATTTGCCTGGAACAGACGTTAGACTGACTGGACTGTCATTTCCTGGTTCCCCTCTGGATCCCTTTTAAAAAATTGGTACAGTGACTGAATTTAGTGGTAGGTTACAGATCAATTATCTCATATCTGAGTTCCTTAAGAACTCTTGGGTGTATGCCATCAGGACCTGGAGATTTATCTGTTTTTAATTTCCCCAGTAAATCTAGAGTTTCATCTCTGGTCACCTCAATTTGTCTCAGTTCTTCAGACTCCCTTCCCAAAAATATGGGCTATGGCATGGGTAGATGCCCCACACTTTCCACAATGAACACAGAAGCAAAAAAATCGTTGAGCTTCTCTGCCATCTCCCTATCTTCCTTTAGCAATCCATTTATTCCCTTATCATCCAAAGGCCCCACTGCTTCTCTGGCTGGTTTCCTGCTACAGATATATTTTTTAAAATGTTTTTTATTTGTCTTGATGCTTTTAGCAACCTGCTCCCCAAAATCTCTTTTTGCATGTGTAATTATTGACTTACATTTTTTTTTTGCCACAGCCTGTGCTCCCTCCTGTTAAATTCATTGGGGCAGACCTCCCACTTTTTAAAAGAACCCTTTTTACTTTTTACAGTTTCCTTGACTTGTATTGTTAACCATGCAGGCCTTCTTTTAGACTTGGCAGTGCCTTTCCTAACCTGTGGAATGCATTCTATTTGGCCTTCAATTAGTGTGGTTTTAAATAGCTTCTAAGAATCCTCTAGGGATTTGACTCTCTTGTGTTTCCCCTTCAGCTTCCTTTTTACTATTCCCCTCATTTTTATACAGTTCCCTCTTTTGAAATCAAATCTTACAGTTTTGGACTTTAGAGGTAACTTTCCATTTATCTGAATGCTGAATTTAATAGCATTGTGGTCACTGTTCCCATTTGGTGCAACAACCTCTTCCTCTCTCACCAGGTCTTGAGACCTGCTCAGAACCAAGTCCAAGATCACTTTCCCTCTGGTTGGCTCTGTAGCCAACTGTTCCACTGAACAGTCATTTATGATGTCTAAGAATCTCATTTCTACAGCATGACTCGAGCACATGTTTACCCAGTCAATGTGAGAAGAGTTGAAGTTTCCCAGTATAATAACATTTATCAGCTTTAGTCACCTCCTTTATTTCCTTCTCCATCTCAATATTAGCCTCAAGGGTTTGATCAGGTGGGTGATAATACACCCCAGTTTTTAAGGCCCAATATTTCCACCCATATCACTTCTGTTGAGGAATTAATTTCCCTGATGTTTTCTAACCTTTTAACTTCTATGCCCTCTTTGATGAACAATGCAACACTACTTCCAACCTGTCCCTCCCTGTCTGACCTATAGAGCTTATACCCAAGAATTACTATATCCCATAGATTTTCCCCATTCCACCATGTTTCTGAGATTGTCATTGAGCACCAAGCACTACAGGTCCACTATCTTGGCTTGTGGACTTCTCACATTGGCATATGTACACCAATAATGTGTTTCCCTCTCCAATAACCCTCATATCCCTCAGTCATCACACATGGCCCTCAGTTGCCATCATGTCCTCACTCCCAACTTCTATTATGTTCCTATCAATATTACCCTGAATGTTTACACAATCATCCCTTTGGATTGACTTGTCCCAAACCTGAGGCTCCCCAGATCCTGTTAGCTTTCCCCCCAGGATTAGCATAATTGCCAGCAGCCTGGTCCCCTTTTGATTCAAATGAAGCCCGTCTCTTTTGTACAGGTTTGGCTTGTCTCAGAAAGTTCTCTGGTGCCTAACAAATCTAAACCCTTCCTCCCGGCACCACTTTCTTATCCACGCATTGAGACCCCTGATCGGTATCTGTCTAGCTGACATAATTCTCTGTATTCCTAACGATTGAATCACACATTATCAGAAGCCCACCTCCCCCCAGCCCCCCATGGGTATCCTTGGTATGAAAGGATATTGGTCTGTCACCCAAGGAAGGGGGTCCTTCTAAGGGTTCACATCTCTCCTCCTCAGACTGATGCCCTCCCACCTTGAGACTCTCATTCTCCGCAACAGCAGAACATCTGTCAGCACATGAGTAGTACTGTT